AGGGCCACCGCGGCCACTATTCCCGCAGTTTCTTTAGAAGTGTTCCCCGGGTCGCAACGGACCACCCACCAGCGTCGACACGCACACCCAGCCTCCGGCTGCCCGAGGCCACGTGGTTGCTGGAGACGCCCCACGAGCGCGGCAGCACAGCACCCCCTCGTGGCCCTGTCCTCGCGGCGCCCGGAAGGGCCCGGTGCCTAGCTCTGGGCGAGAGCCCCCGCCGGCAGAGTGCTAACGCAGAAGAATTGTTTAAAAAACAAATTGGCACCGCAGCCATGGATAATATTATCCTTCAGGCTCTGTCTCAGCTGTTCCCTCCTCTGGGAAGTCCTCCCTGACTCCCCCCATTTGGATCAGGCGTCTCCTTTGGGTTGTTCTGGTCCATTAAGCTCCCCTATCCCTGCCCCAGCCCCGCCCTGACCCCTCTGCCCGGGCCTCCCCATCCCGGGCCTGACTCGACTCCTCTAGGCTGTTACTGGCTGTAATGGGTCGGCCTCCCCACTGCACAGGAAACCCTGTGAGGGGAGAGACAAGGGTGGTCTTGGTCACCACTGTGTCCCCAGTAGCAGTTACTGAGTGAGGCTTAGTCGACCTGCAGTGCACCTCCTAGGGAGCATTTATTTATTCTCTCAATACATATTTGTTTTAACAGCTTTGTGGAAGAGTAATCTACCTATCATAAAGTTCACCTGTTTTAAGTGATTTAACAATGTGAGGTGATTTTGCAGTTGTGCAACCATCCCCACAATCCAATTTTAAAACATCACTCTAAAAAGATTTCTTTTGCCCATTCCCACCCCCAGCTCCAGGCAACCACTGGTCTACTTTCTGTCACGTAACATATTCTTTTCTTCATGTTGCATTTTATGAACAAGTATTTTTTTTATCAGCTCTTGAGTGCTGAGGATACACAATACACACAGGCCCTGCCCTCAGGGAACTCAAAGTCTGGTTGGGAGAGAGCTGATGTCCTCTCATTCATTCAGTCTTTCATTCAAAAGACATTTATTGAGCACCTACAATATAACATATACCAGGCACTATTGTACGTCCTGGGGATATAGCTGTGGGGCAGTGGTGGGGGGGGAGAGACAAAAATCTGCACTCTGCTGGAGTTTATATTCTAATGGGAAGATAAAAAGTAAAGAAATAAACATATGTAATATAATGGCTGTTTGTGATAAGTGTCATGAAGAAGAAAAGCAGAGGAAGGGGATAGAGAGTGACGAGGTGTGACTTTAAATAGGGTGGTCAGGGAGCCACTCTCTGAGAAGAAAACATTTAATCAGACCTGACAGAAGTAAGGGGTCATGCACAAATGTGGGGAACAGTGTTCTGGGCAGGAGGACCAGCCAGTGCA